TTTTTAGAGCATTGCAGTCCGTCACTACTTTAAATGTGAGCCCAAGTAGATAAACTCTAAATTTCAACAATGACTCCACCACAGCCAAGGTTTCCAACTCGTAGGAATGATACCTACTCTCGGCCTTGTTAGTGTGGCGACTGTAATAGGCAACAGGTCGTAATTGGTCATCATGTTCTTGAAGTAGCATTCCAGCTATTCCTTCTTGACTAGCATCAGTATGAACCTCCGTTCTTGCATTTGTATTATATAAGGCAAGGATAGGTCTTTCAGTGAGTCTCGCTTTTAGATTTTCAAATGCGTTCCTCTCATGCTCTCCCCACGTCCAAACGCTGTCTTTTTGTGTTAGTTTTGTCAGAGGTTTAACTATGGATGCATAATTCTTCACAAACTTTCTGAAAAAACCGGTGAGTCCCAGGAATTGACGAATATGCTTAACACTTTTTGGTGTCGGAAACTGCTGTGCTGCGTCAACTTTAGCTTGACCTGGCCGGACACCCATGTGATTGATTTCAAAACCTAGGTAATTAATGGAGGATGCTAGAAAGACGCACTTCTTCAAATTCAGTGTTAAATTTTCATTTCTTAATGTAGCTAGTATTGTGCGTAAGCTGTGTAAGTTCTCATTACATGTTTTACTGGGAATGATGACATCATCTAAGTACACCGCTGCTATTTCTCGATAAGGGCCCAAAATTCTGTTCATCATCCGTTGAAATACGGCAGGAGCATTGCAAAGGCCGAAAGGCATTCTATTGTATTCGTATTGACCTTCAGTTGTTACGAAAGAGGTGAAATGTTTGCTATTCTCTGCAACTGGAATCTGATGGTAGCCGGAGCTTAGATCTAAAGTTGTGAATACACAGCATCCAGTCAACTTGTCTATTTGGTCGTCAATCCTTGGCAATGGAAATTTTTGTTTAATCGTTTTTAAATTTAGCTTCCTGTAATCGATACACATTCTATCTTGTCCATCCTTTTTCTTCACTAATAGTACTGGGGATGAAAAAGGAGATTCAGACTCACGTATGATGCCTGCACCCAGCAAATCCGCCACGATAGTTCTTATCTTCTCCTTTTCAGTTTCAGCCATCCTATATGGTCTGTAGGTGAATGGCTTATCGTCATTGAGTTTTATCTCGATCTCTGCTGATTTTGCTACACCTAGATCTTGTATTTTGTCTCCGAATAGGTCTCGAAATTCGTTAAGTAGATTGATAAGCTTCATTCGAGTATCTTTGTCGTTTGTTCCAATATTGATTAATGATTCTTCTAGAGCAGGTAGCTTATCTAGTTCTATTCTCAATATAGGTCTCTCTGAGTTCTGATGAATGTCCAATTTACAGGGAAATGCTCGTACTATTGGATTTTTCTCATTCAAAATAAGGTCCTTTCCCGAGAGATGTATGACTGGTATAACAGTATCCTTTGTCAGTCGAATTATTAGCCTAGGTATGCAATATTCCCTTCCAGGTTGGTATCTGCCACATGCTTCTACAAGAAGATCTCCTTCATAGGGTGTTTTACTGCAGACCATGACGTTACCCATATAATTTGCAGGAATAACGACTGTTTCTTGCAACCATAGCGCTATTTTCGATGTGGAGTCGATTTGGTGAGGGTTGTGATTAAATTCCAATTTCTGAAAGTCCTTCGTTACTATAAGGTCAGGTAGCTCAGTAAATGGTTGACCAATTAATATGGGAACATCCTGCAAATTATCTGGAACAACAAGGAAGTTCACAGTTCTTTCAACAGAGTCTACTTTTATTTTTATGTTTGCTTCGCCAAGGGCTTTAATTGAATTTGATCCATATCCTTTAATGAATATTTCACTATCATCTTTGATTTCAATATTAAGTTTTCTAGCATCTGAAATTCGGATAATATTGCAGCTTGATCCAAAATCTACAAAAGCTTGAAGTGGTTTCCCATTGGCAAAAATGTGTTTGTAATATTTTCTATTTGCGTCTGTCTCTAGTCATAAGACTCTTTCGGTACGATCACCCTGCTGGTTACCTTTCTGTTGGCGTTTCATGCAGTCTTGGGCTCGGTGACCATATCCATGGCAGTGGAAACACTTTGTTGCCCTGCATTCAGCAGCTCTGTGTCCTTGATTTTGACATTTGTAGCAGGGAATGTTTGATTTTGTTTTGAAAGTTGCATGTCTTTTTGGCTGCTTCTCCCTTTGCCTTTGGTGCTCTTTGAATGGAATTGGGGTCCAAGCTGACGAAGTACTTGGCCGCGAAATGTCACACGTTTTAAGAAAGTTTAACAGAGCTTCACAGGTTTTGTAATCATTTGCTCTGGCAGCTGCTTGTACCATTGTGTCTGGTATTCCTCCAATAATGCAGGAGACAGCTTCGGAATCAAATATTTTGCATTCATTCATCAGCGCTACTTTCTCATAATAATAAGCAATATATGATTCTTCCCTGCGTTTATTCCGCTGCATCATTTGTTGCAGGTCTTGATGAAAATCGCGTCTGGGTGGAAAAGCCTTTTTTAGCTCAACCTTCCACTCTTCCCAGGTATAGTCTATAGTTGGTAAGCTATGGTACCAGGTACTAGCAAGTCCTGTTAGCTTGGTAATAGAATTATAAGCTGTCGCTTCCTCACTCCAATTATAGAGGTTCTTTAACTGGTCGATTCTCTCGCACCATTTGTCGATGGATTGTTGCCGATTTTCTGGATTGAAAGGGGGTACAACATTTTTTTGCAAAGGGTTTGCATTCTTTTCGATGGTTCGATCAGTTGTAGTAATTTTCATCTCCATTATCCTAACCAGATCCTTCACGACGCCAGCTAAACCTGATATTTCGCTTGCATCAGATGGAATTGGAGTACTGGTGGTTGCCATTGATTCATCTTCATCCGAAGATGATAACATTGGACGAATACGTTTTCGTTTTTGGACAACCTGATTCTCGTTTCCGGCCATCCTTGAACAAAACGAACCCTGTTTAAATACCTATTTTTTTTTTGTCTTTTATTTCAAGCTAAAACCGCCGACCTAAATTTTTTCCTACTTGTTTAACATCTAAAATAATATAAATAATTTATACCTTTTATCCCAATGTTAATCCAATATTAATCCAAACACTTTTTTTTATCACAAATCACCCACAAGTTGAAAAGTATATTGTTTGATAAATCAAAGTTTACGATAATTCAAAAAAAAACTCAAATTCACGCCAATGCCGATAATCACTTTGAAAATATTAATTTTGGTCTCCGCGGAAATGCACCTTAAGGCCACACAAAATTAACTGGTAATACTTTCAATAATTTTACGCAACAAGAACCCTTCAATAAATTCAGGTATCAGAGGTCAGGTACCTAGAAATGTACACCGGCAATGTAATAGGAAGTAAATAGATAACTTTAACGAAACCAACCCAAACAAAAAGGGTACGGTTGCACTTGGGGTTGTCTAACAGGCCCTGATATCAGTACCATTTTTAGGTAGGTACTACTTTCGACTATTAATGTTAAAGGAAAAGTATTTGCGAAAAATTACACTCTCAATTTTAATTTCATCAGAATGAATCGATTGCTGAATCCCACTTCTGAATGTAAAACTAACCCTTTTGGGCTCTCAATGAGGACTTTTTAGTGGGTTTTCGCAATGCAGATTCATTCCTCAGTCAAGATAATGCCGGAAAATATTGTCAGGAACCATATGAAATAAAATGAAAGAATTACTGATCTGATAATCAATTAATAACAATGCAATTACTCACCGGGGGGTTTTACCGCCCCTTGCCTCTTGGTCATTCTGGCATACCAATACTAAATATTCCTGGCTAAAAATATAATTAAAATAGCAGGATTAATCTTCACTTGTACCTTCCTTCTTCGACGACTAGCTAGTGCCCCCCTGAAATAAGTCAAGGCTTCCCCGGATACTTAATTGCCGCTAAACAATCAGTATCCCAACAAATTGGGTATTGGGGTGTTTGCTCTACACCCCTATACCTATTTGAGTCAATCAAGTCGCAAGTAAGGCCCCCAATCTTACAAGACACAACCTGAAGGAATGGCGCCCATACCAGCGTATAGAGGCTTGCTACACCAGCGTGCAATAAATGTACTCATAGTACATTTCCATGAGTTTCTACACCAGCGTGCAATAAATGTACTCATAGTACATTTCCATGAGTTTCTACACCAGCGTGCAATATATGATGATTCATAAATATCAGGTTGTACACAGTATATATCAACAATAATTATTAATATCAGCCAAGGGCTTACCAAAATCCGTGTACACACACAAACAATAAAAAAACAACCCTGTTCCTCTCTGCTTGACTCACCGCTCACCACTCGTCCCTTTCTTTTTACCCTCTCGACGATTCCTTCTTTCTAAGATTCCCCTTCTCAATATTTTAACCTGAAAGGAAGAGGTTCTGGGCAGCTTGGACTATTTAATTAAGAGACGACAATTGCTTTTATTGAATAATTGAGTATAATTTATTGTCAGCAAATTAATGAGAATACAAAAATTATAATAACGATTGCGTAATTATTTAACAGAAGAGGATGTTCCTATTTATAATGATTTTATTGGTCATTTTCATAGTCTAAGCCCAACATATGTTCATGTGGTTGTTGGATCCATTTGAAATTATAGTATAATGGGCTTCTAAGAAAATATAAACCTATAATAGTAGGGAGCAATAGTGCGATGCGCACAACGCAAAGCGCTAAAACTCATAATTTGAACACATTACAGTTATAATTGCCGTAAAATAGAAAAACATTATGGCATGTTACAACCTAATACATCTCAACTATTGGCGTAACAAATTCATTTTTGGTAGATCATTAAAATTAGCAACGGAACGTAAATTTGTGAATAAAATGATTAAATATTGTGAATCCTTAATTACATTCATATACATACTTCACTGATTTAACTATTTAAGTACTTAAATTTAATTACTCATTGATATTTTATATAGTTACCTTTATTGAAACATTATCTTATTTTACAGATTCAAACGGACCACCCACCACAAGACTTTGAAAGAACATCACAATCATTGAAATTTCAGGTATGCTTCAATAATATTACTAACAGTAAATAAAATGTGTTTTCTGCGGTATTACAACGAAAATTTCAAATCCAGAAACCACTTATTCTTGAGTAACATTCTTCCTGACATTGAAAGGCAATTATATTGATTTAAGTAATGATCGTAAAAGTACTACACATGTAACTGACATTATGATAGGGGCCGATTTTAGTGAATCTGGGCATCACATTTACCGATAATTGCCTTCCAGGAAAACCGGTGAATAGAGCCGCACCGATAATTTATTTCTAATCCGTACAAGATGCAATAATTCAGTACTTACACACAAACCCGTAGTAATGCCACTGCCTACACGGCACAACAGCCCGTTGCGATACCTTTGTGGTGGGCGTTTGATGTCAATTAAATTTCACTCCTTATTTAGGTGAATTCTAAAACATTCTGACTATGTCTAGGAATGTGTAACAAGCTCTTGTACGCCGGTCGCTATTATTTTGTTTTATATCGGCATTTTGCCTCATTTTGTTCGAATCACCATCTGTCTTGCTTTGCTCGATTATAGCGAAACCAACACAGGAACGGATTACGTTGGTATTCGAGAGAAAATATGACTGTAAACTCTATTTGAATAGTTTAAGGTGGTTTCTACTCATTTGGGTATATGCACCTTTCCTGGAAACATCCCAAAATTCTAATAAACTAAAGCAAATCGATTGAACATGCAACCCACAGAATAGTTATTTACATTACAAGTGCGTTTATGAGCATGATTACAATAACGAGTGTGAAGGATTAGAACGACGAGGTCGTAGACCGAGTCGTTCTAATTACACGAGTTTTGTTATCATGTTTGAACGCACGTGTGATGTACAACGTTTCATCTACAAAGCGAAAAATAAGAATATTTTTCCAGTTATTTCTTTCATTAATAGTTGTCTACCTTCATTTTACCTTTACAGGTTTACCTTTGACATTTGTCAAATCACCAAAAATAGTTGTTATAGACTCATAACCTCGTCCATAACACCACTAGTTGTGTTATGAATTCATAACCTAGTCTATAACACCACTAGTTGTGTTATGAGTCTCATGACGTAACTCAAATACTAGAGAAATGGTTATGTAAAAACGTCATAACCAAACGCTTGTAGATAAAAATATTATAACTAATGGTTTTTTCTAGTTCATTCTATTAAATGACTCTCACCTTATTATTATCCAAAGATTGTATTGTAAATAAATAAATAAATAAAAAAAAATCCAGATACTAGTACAAGAAATTAAAAATAAATCTGTCGTCAATCAATATAAGTAATTATTGTCCATTAGTATCTGCAAAAGAAACAATTCAATCTAAAAATATATGCTTCTTTTCTAGTTACCTACATAGTGTCGATTTCATCCACATTTTTTAGAATGTTGCATTCAATAGTTTTTCTATCCCTCAGAAGATACATATTCCCAACATTTTATTGGGAAATGGATTAAGAAATGAAAGAACTTATCGATTTTCAATATATTTATTTTATCGAACACAGCGTGGAAAGCAGAGCGTGTGAACTCATAGAGCTAAGTATAGGAACTGACTCAACATCAAAAGACAAAGAATTACACTGATATGAATATCAGTTTATCCAAAACGCCACTTCAAAAATTTGATCAATTAGACTAAAAGTAGGTAATTCCTCTAGGTAAATTCAAACCTAGTATAACATAAATAGGCCTGCTTTCCTTATGTGTGTCTTTTCTGGAGAAAATTACTATAACGGTCCAGCATTTGCTGCTCGGGATTAGGAAAAACCCAGAAAAACCTAATCAAACCATTTAACTTATTAACTAAGCCTAATTCCATTCTAATTTCTCAAATTTCACTTGCATCAATGGTTTGGTAAACATGTCTGCTAGTTGTTTCTCTGTGGACAAATATTTTGTATTAATTACACCTTTCTCTATCTGTTCATTGAAAAATGATACTTTGTATCAATATAGTTTGATCTTTTGTGATTTGTTGGATTATTTGCATTACTTAGGTATTGTAGTATATCATACCCGGGGTCGCTCAGTAAGATTGAACTATGAGAATTTTTATTACCTTTTAAACAACAAATATTCTGAAAAACCAAAAGAAAAACAAATAGGACCTACGTTGTGAAAACTTACTCAATTTTACTTACTGGACATGCGCCCGACATAGCAAATATTTGGGAAATTTAAGGGAAGTTGTGATATGTAAAAGAAACGAAAAATGTGTGAAACGTCTCCTTTATTATCAAAGAAAAACGTACCGTTCTCGACCTAGAATTCTCGAGGGAAAAGAGAACGGCAGAGAAAACCTCGATCTAACATTCCCCAAAAATCGAAACATACTGTGTCATTTTAAATAATAATTGTGAGTCAATAATTCAATAATTTAAGTCAATAAAAGTTTAAATTAGGTACCATCCTTTGTTCTTGTGCTGAAATTTTAATTACACACACTACATTCAATCCACACTACTTATAATCAATACTGAAGAGTTTTTGGTTAGTTAGCCCATCTGTGGCGGGTACCGAGGTCCCTGGTTACGTAAACTCACGGCGAAATCTCAGCACAAATCTCAGCACAAAAAGACAGCATATAATTTCTTAGGTTTTTAGTTTACTTCTTTATCTGTGTTGTTTACAGTATGAAACGATTTTGGTTAAATACATGAACAATGCACATGTTATAAAAAATGTTATAAATCAACAAAAACATAAAAATTGGAAAAAACATATGTAATACTTGCGTAAATTGAACTCTCAAAAACAAAATAATAATTATTTAACTGACCTGGTGATCGCTCCTTGACACACACACTAATAACAAATTGGATTGAACAATTAATTTTAATGCAAAATAGGAATGAAAATTGAATGAATAATTACAGACACGCGTTTAAAGCGAACAGCCCCAGCTTCTTCTCTCGTTTTTCTAATGCCTAATCGTCTCTTCTCTTCTATCCTCTTCGGTTTTCGGTACCTTCATTTTTCTGTGGCGTGCTCGTTCCTATAAACTTGCACGGCGCATACATGGTTGCAACATTTAATTTTATTCAGTAAACATTTTTTTAAAAAGTTATGATTTAAAGAATTAATATTTTAAATAGGTGGTTTTCCTCGGTATGCAACCATTGTTGTCCTCCTAGGTCATAATTGGCTCTGATATCAATATTTATGTAAATTTTCTGCTAATGATTTTAACCAAAGAGCCTCTGTGACAGCGTCAAAAAAAAAGCCATATATTCGGCTTCAGTAGATATATGCCGCTACTGACAACTGCCTTTTTGTATTCCAACATATCACATAATTTTCACAACAGTTTAAATAAATATCCTGTTGTGCGTTTTATATGGTTTATATCATCTCCGCCTCCTTAGTCAGGATCAATATAATCACTCAAGAAATTGATATATTCACATATAAAATATTGTTTCAACCTTAAGATATCTAAGGAACCTTTTCAAATATTGCCAAAGCTCTTTATCATTTTTATTTTGATACCTGCTCAAAATATTAACAGCGGTAGTCAAATCAGGCTTAACTTAATACATTAAACAGCCGATTAGATTAAGGCAAGAACTATCATATTTTTCTTCTGAATTTAAACCAATCAAATTCAGTTCATATCGGCCCTAGGAAGCGGAGTGCTGACACAGCTGACAGCACAACAGTAATGCATATTAAATTTACAGGGCGGCCGTAAAGTCACGAATAAATTCAATAATTATTCTTCCAATTAATTTTTTTTTAAATCCTCGAACACGTCAATTTTATTTTTTGTCGAGCATTTTTTATAAAATAAAATTATTATACAGGGTTGTCGCAGAAAAGCTGAACAGGTAGTAACTTAATTTTTTTAAATGGACACCGCTAATTTTTTTACATTTTCGGATTTCTGATAAAATTCTAAGTATTTTTCATGAAATAATTGAAATATGTCCTATACCTATCTTCAACTGTTTCGGAAATATTGACAGTTGAAAATTGACTTTTTGCAACTGAATTTACCCAGAGAATAAATTTAACTGAAAAATTTTAATCATATTAAATTCAAAGTTGGTGTCAAATGATAGTTTATAAAAATCTAAGAAAGGAATGTAAAATCGGTTTTCCTCTAAAATTAACCTTTTAGGTTTTAGAGCCTGTCAAAGTTGCAAAAAGTCAATTTTCAACTGTCAATATTTCCGAAACAGTTGGAGATAGTTATAGGACATGTTTCATAAAAAATACTTAGACTTTTATCAGAATTCCGAAAATTTAAATATAGACAAACTGTCAGAGGAATCCGTTTCATTAACAAAGTTTTATACATTCACTTTTTCAAGTTTATCATTAACTACTGATCTTGAAAAACAGCCAGAGGAAACAGTTTTATCATCAATATTTTATATTCACTTTTTCAAGCTTATGATTAAGTACTGATTTTGACAAACAGTCAGAGGAATCAGCTTTATGACCATAAGTGTTCTGGATTTAATTTTTACAGCTTATGATTAACTACTGATCTTGACAAACAGTCAGAGGAATCAGCTTTATCATCAAAGTGTTTTACATTCACTTTTTTGGGGCCTATTATTAACTACTGATCTTGACAAATAGTCAGAGTGGAATCAGCTTAATGTAGGCTTGGACGACAAAAACAAATTTGTTATATCTACAATAATATCTCTAACTACAACAAACTTATTATCCAGATCCCACACTTAATATTCATTTGGTTCATAAGCATTAAGCAACCAGTATAGCTTTCTAGGATTTGATATCAAGTTTTGTTTTTCTGGTTTTACTATGTATATAAACGGTTTTATGGAACCAATCACTGAATATTTTACTTGGGGCTTTTTACTACGGCACATTTCGTATGGCGTTTCAAATTCTTTAAAAGCTTTAGTAGAGGTCAAACTAAGTGAGAATGTTGCAGTTAAAACTGCCTCCCTCACCCCAAAAGCCTTTTTTTATATTGCTGCACTATTTAATTTGTGGGATTCGTGGAATTG